AAAGGAACATCAAGCTAAAACGAGTGAAGATCGAGTTGCGTAGGAGGAAAGTGGTGTTTCATGGACACGTGCTAAGCTCCGAAGGACTGAAACCAGACCCTGAAAAGGTCAGAGCCATCAAACAGATGTCTTCTCCTACTGACGTGGGAGCCGTTAGCAGGCTGGATGGGTGGCGAATTACACAAGTCTTTTCTTGCCCAGATTAGCCTGTGTAATGGTACCGATTCGAAAACTGACGCATAAGAGTGAGAAGTGGCATTGGGACGCGGAGCAGGAGAGAGCATTTCAGACAATAAAGGAATTATTGGAGGTGTTTGTGAGTAGTGTGAAGTTCGAAGGAAGTAGAAGCCACGATTAAAATTCACGCACAATAATATGCCTCGACGGGGAGTCGAACCCCGGTCCACGAATTTCCGGTCCGTTGCTCTACCACCTGACCTACCGAGGGCTGATGATTAGGTGCGCAAATTTTAACACATGTCTTCTGCTTGGTGCGCGACGTGTTGCCAACAAGCTCACAGTACCTGTCCTGATGTTGCAGATTGGCTCACTCACCCGTCACTTCCCAATAGACCGAAGTTCCTGTCCTTCAGACGTCCGATGGGCGATGGTAGATTATTGGAGGTGTTTGTGAGTAGTGTAAAGTTCGAAGGAATTGATCAAAAGAATTGATCACAAGCGCCCCCGTTCACGCTTGCTATAACCCAGCACTCCCGCTCGAGATCCAACGTGACAGCAGTTAATATGGTATCGGAGCCGTACTCATGCAGAACGGTAAGCATGTCGACTTTCGCATCCGGACGCTGACAGAGCCCGAGCGTCGTTACGCGAAAATAGAGAAAGAAATGCTTGCACTGGTTTACGCAGTGGAGCGTTTCAATGACTATATGTTTGGCCGCAAAATCCACCGCCTTTACCGACCAGAAGCCCCTAGTGTCGATCGCCAGCAAGCCGCTCCATGTTGTTCCACGTCGCCTGCAAAGGATGCTCATTCGTCTGCAGAAGTATGGTCTAGAGATTGTCTACCGGCCAGGATCCCAGATGCACATTGTGGACACGCTGTAAAGAGCGCACCTGTCAGACCCGCCAGGAAAGGAAGAAGACCTAGATTTCGTCCATGCAACACAGATGATCGCCGTCACTGAGGAACGCTTGCACCACTTGCAACAACACACTGAGGAGGACAAATTGTGTAGGCTACTGAAGCACACAATCATGAACGGATGATCCGAACACAAGAAAAGGTTACCAAAGGAGCTGACTCCATTCTTCCATTTTTTGTGACGAAATCATTACTCAGAATGGATTAATATTCAAAACAACAAGGTAGTGGTTCCAAAGACACTGCAGCGTTCGATGCTAGAGCTGGTACATGGTGCACATTTAGGAACCAACAACTGCGTGGCGAGAGCTAGAGAGCCGTTGTTCTGGCCCGGAATGCTCAGCCCAGTACGTGACTCCGTCTCCAATAGTGTAGCATGCAGAGCACACGACGTATGCCAGCCAAAAGAACCAATGATGCTACGTGACGTTCCTGACAGACACTGGCAGATGGTTGCACCAGACATTTTTGCTCACGATGGCAGGAACTATTTGATTGTGGTAGATTATTTTAGTGACCAGTTCGAGATCGATGCGCTTACGATGATTAGTACGCAATCCGTGGTGAACAAGTTGCGGTGCCAGTTCGCTCGGTATGGAAAACCCGAGGTGGTGATTTCAGACAACGGGCCGCAATTTAATAGTGCAGAGTTTCGTGCATTTAGCAACAAGTGGGATTTTCGTCACCGGCCAACCAGCCCATACCATAGCCGATCAAACGGTAAGGCTGAGTTCGCAGTGAAGGAGGCGATGCAAGTGCTTACAAAAGCCAAGGAGACCATACAAGCTCCGTGCCTAATGCTACTGGACCGAAAAGATGCACCATCTACTGATATCGGAGCGAGTCTTGCACAGCGTATTTTCAGTCGGCGAACAAGTACTCCACTACCGACCGCTACAACTCTACTGCAGCCCGAGATAATGCCGTCCGATGTTCTACACGACCGACTACAGAACAGAATGCTAAGGCAAAAAAGTACTATGATGGCGGCTCGAAAACCTTCCCACCACTAGGTACAGGAGAAGAAGTATGGGTGTAGCCATTACCGGAATCCGGTGGATGCTGGCGGAAAGGAGCGATCGAAGGCCGGAAGGGAGAGAGGAGCTATGAAGTCAAGGTTGGGGCAATCTCACTCGACGGAATCGGGTGCAACTGAGAAGAGTGCGCCAGAAGTGGACACCGCATGGAGAGGGTCAGCAGAAACAACCAAGGAGGAATACTGTTACCCAAGCCCAGGAAGTTAGACGCACACGAAGTGGTAGGCAATACGGAAAATATGGTAACGCCATCCTAGAAAACAAAAAGACAAAGAACAAACAACATTTACGCGGGATAACCTGAATTCAGATTATTTCGTGGCTGAACGAGAAGACACGAAATAATCTGAATTCAGGTTATCCCGCGTAAATGTTGTTTGTTCTTGCTCTCTTGAAATTTCTGAAGGGAAATGGCTGCATGAAGAAAAAGACAAAGGATGTGATGGGGGCTGGAAATGCTGGTGATTGGAAATGCTGTAATGCCGACCGAACGTCACAGACCAGACCGATAAGGAGTGAGCATGTTGCCGGAAGAAGATTGGTCAGCCAATCAGGAAATAGTTGACCCGTATTGGCATCCTCCCTGCAACTATCCACTGAACGTGCAAGTGATCAACCAGGCGTCAGCAGGCGAAGAGGCGCATACTCATGCACACTTGTGCCAGGGCTTGTGGTATTGGACCGCGGGAAGAAGCGTGCGGGCCCAATCCCGCCAATCGTACATCCACTAAGAAAGTCAAGGTGGTTTTAGACAGAGTGAACGTGTCAAGTAAGCATAAACCAATGGAAAGAGAGCCAGTGACACAATGCAAATACCAGGGATGAGCCATTGAGACGGACTGTTGTAGTGTATATACTCTATAAATATTCGAGCGTAGTCTTAATAAATGACTTCGTGATCGCGGCTCAGTCTTCCTGCTTCCCAGATGGTTGCACGACAGTTGACAATCCCATTTTTTCTCGCATTTTTAACGTCGCTGTTACTTGCTTGTTCTGTTCCTACCAGATATTGGAAGTTACTTGCTGATATTCCGTTTCTGCGTCTAAAAGGCTATGCTAACGACAATTAGCCGCCTAGGAAGATTACACCCTACTTTGAGGCAATACCCTTTTATTAAGACTGATTCACATACCGGGTATTAACGAACGCAGAGCATATGGTCCAACCCATACTGGCTTATAGCGAGGTAGGAGCGCTGTAACTGGCATTCGGCGTGTAAACGAGTATCGATGTCACTTGCATTCCTGTTTTTCTTCCCCTAACTTTACCATACAACGGACAATTGTAATGCAAACCGATAACAAATGAATGCCTTAGTTTTGTCCTCAGTTCTACGGAAGGAGAACGAGTTAACTCTATCTTACCTTCCATCGATAAAATGAAAGTGTTCTTAATCCCAGATCTCACTTGTTGGATATTTAGGGCGATCGTATCTTGTAGACATGCGAAACAGCGTCAAACATCCCCCGGTGGTCTAGATACCTAAAGCTTTATTGTCAGAAACAAATATAAAAAATGCCATGGCAAAACACCATGTGGAACAAAAAGTTATGTGTAGGAAAAGTGAGCCTCCATCCGTTTCTAGTGTACTGCGACCATCAAAGAACCACAGTATGGTGCTAGATGAAGCTTCGCACCTGTAATACAGAGCATATAACTATTTGCCGAACGCAGAATGCCTCATCGGAACTTACAGCGGCATTCTAGTGATTTGTAGATTTAAAACACAAGATGAAAGAAGCGTGGTAACGGGGTTCGAACTAGCATAGTTAACGGTTAATCATCACGCATTCAAAGCTTTCTTCTATAAAACCATTTCTTGAACAATCGTATACATCACAATGCTTTCCCTTTTCAAGCAGACGACTTACTTGCAGGCGTGGTTCACGCCTCCATTGGTATAGGCTTTCCTCGTTGACTAGTACAAACAAAGTCGCGCTCGGAGTGTAGTATAACGAGTGCGCGGGCGGGCGGTAGGGCTGGCAACACCCAACAGTCACTTGCTTCAGCTACGGCCCCGGTAGCACATTGAATCAAGATTCAATACAGTGCGAAACGCGGTTCATATAGATATTGCGCATTGCATTCTAATCACAAACGTGTGCTTAAAAGGACCTCCCCAAGCAGTCTTGGCATATTGTTTTCCGATGAGCTAAGTGGTTTACCTATTCGCAAGCCACGGCCTACCTCATCGCAAGGTATCCAGGCCTCACGGAGTGAATAAAAGCGCCTTCGGGAGAGCAGAAATGATGGGGTGCTAGACAGGTAGTGTCTACACAAGCACGGGTAGTCTGTCTCAGTCTGTTAAAGAAAATCAATGGAAAAGCTTTTACAACTAGCACAAGTCGTATCATTCAGTGGGCGTGGTGCATCTTTCTTGTGTATACATGGTAGAAAGTATATCATAATTCCTGTGAATTTTCATATAGAAAATAGACGGGGTAGATTTAAAGCATTGCATTTGCAGCCAGAAGAAGTATCCACAGATACATGATTTGTGTGTTATTCCCGCAGTATAACTTCCTGTTATTCTAACCAATGATAAACGGTAGTTTTCGCGGTTGTCCACATATATCTTACCCCGAGTCTGGGAAAGGCTTTGCAAACGTTTTTTTGCCTTGGTGGTATGTCTCGACGTCAGGAAAAGGAGTTAGGATGGAATCCAAGCATGAATGCATTGGTTATGAAAGGTGACATTCTCCACTAGTCTGAAAACGGGCAATTTAATTGGTAAGGCAAATCATTTCCGAACCACCGTATAGGACATTGGCGGCTAAAAATTAGATAATTGAACTCTAGTACTAACAGCACTGTGGTCCCACTTCATCGATGACACGTTCGTATAAATTCTTGGACTTACGATTTTTCTTATAGAATATCATCTCAATTTGGTCAGCTGTTTGAGTGTCCAGTGCCTTCAATAAGCGGTCTCTCATCTCCTGAGTGGTTTGTTCTCCATAAAAGTACACACAGTTGCCACTCTTCTGCATAATGTCCACTCGACTGTATCCAACGAGGCGAGCGAATCCTTCGTTGCAATACACTATGGGGTAATCGACGATGCGAGCGTTGGCAAGCACAAAGCTGCAGACTGCAGAGAAGTTAGAGGATTGGAAAACACACAGCAAGGAGTTATACGGTTACTTTCCTAATGATGTGTGTGGGATTCAAACTGGAAAGTTGACTAGTGCTAGTGATTCAGTGAGATATGCACAACGATCATAGAGCTTCTAAATCAATACTGTCCACCGTACTTCATAGGTCTGAAGTAAAATGTACACAAATTAAAAAGTTGTCATTCAAAGTTAGAATTCGATAAGCACGTTTTAAAACCAACAGTAGATTGTGCTTTAACTCGCTTATAAACGAAATCCCAAATCAGTTTGAAAACGTGTCTGGTAATGCAACATGTATAAGTATTTGCATAAAGTGTCTAACCCTTCCGAAAACGCTGTACTACACCACCGGGTTCTAACTTGATTTATCTCACCAGGTACAGATAGCAAGCATTCGAACACAGAGCTTTTGAGATGTTAACCGAAACAGGCAGGGCTTCTTACTGCTTTTAAGGATTGATTTGAAGAGTACTTTTGATGCGTTCATTATGTTTTATCGGACGGACAACGTCTAATCCATACCTGCTTCATCAGTTACGAGCATGGTATTTGAATTCGCCAAGATTTACTTGAATGCTAATCGCAACTCACACTAAATTTGCTTATCGCAGTCAATTCACATGCTGGAATTCCTAAGCCAGTTCCTATCATGGTCTAATATCACGTTCCAATTCTTACCAGCTCCGACCTCACTCAAGCACCTCAGTCGACTTCGTGGTCTAGTCAACTACTATTGACGCTTCATCCCAGGCTGCGCTCAGCTCATACAACCCTTAACTGATATACTCAGAGAAAACTATACCGCAAACACGATTTTCACCGAGCTTAAGGATGTTATCTCCAACCTAGCTCTTTTCGATCACTCCGAAACGCCTGCTTATCTCTCTCATACAGCTTAAGCTTCAGACGCTGTGTCAGGAACTGTTCACCAACAACACGTAGGTGGACAGTGGCAATCGCTCGGTTTTTTGTCCAAAGGCCTGCAAGTAGCTGAATCTTGTTACGACACGTTTGGTAGAGAACTCCTGGCCATCTACTTAGCTATCCGACATTGTCGACGCCAATTAGCAACCCAAGCTTTCATGGTTTAGACTGGTCATAAGCCTCTCATCTTCGTCGTCAAAACGTATTCTGACATTTATTTACCTTAACCTTGTCGCGGAGTTCAGTGTTGACATGTCATGTCTTAGGTGTAGATATTTCTGTCACTGACGCCTTCCCAGGTATCAAGCTTACGTTTTACCCTTTGTCTACCGTTGACCCCGAAGCCACAACGACGACCTGTGTCCGGGCTGATAACATTCAACGTACCCTGCAGCCTGCTTCGCAGCACGTGCACCCGTTACTCTCCAAAGTAAGAAGGGGCTATCATTTAAAGCACAAGTTGTCCTAAACCCTTCGTGCATGCCCCTTTCAGATGTATGGTCCAGTAAACGCTTCATTCACTGTCTCTCTTCGGTGTTCGGGTATCTTTGTAATACGTATCAGTACGTTTCGTTTCATCAAGTGTAAACAAAGATGTTCGCAACTGAGCTTGAGCTTGTCTTCACTTCCAGAGTTCCAAGGTACATCAACACATCCATAGTCTTTTCGGCTCATTTTATCCCTTGGTTTCTAGGTCCTTGCATCTAAACTTAGACCTCATAAGACTCTTGCCTTCTGGCATGTATCGAGCACTTCACTAGATGGCCAGAAGCTATTGCCATACTAGAATACACGGTCGAAACTGTCATCCTTGTATGCTTGGACCGTTGGATGACCCCCTACGGGTGCCCGTATAACATCACAGACTACCGTGGAACGCCTATCTAATCTTCACAACTTCTTAGGCAGACACCGAATTTACTCGGTGGCATACTGCCCGCAACCACTGGCCTGGTCCTACCCTTTCATAGACAGTATAAACATTCACACTGTGCTACTTTTGACTCTGAGTGGAGCGTAATTATTTCGCTTACACTTTAGGTATTCGCAGCGGCACCAGAACTAACAAGCCGTGTGCACCAATAAACTTGGTCCACGTCAGTTGTTACACTGCCCGGAAAATTCATTTTGACACTCTCGTAGTCGCGTACGTCACTGTTTAACTTCTATCCCAGTTCACATCTCGTGTGTTTGATGTGCCTGATCCCACTAGTGAGTAGAACAGACCTGTGTAAACGAACAAAGGAATTTGTTGTGCATGCAAATAGAGAACAAATGTACGCCTAGTGACAGTGTAATGTACCTGTAGGAATGAAGTGATAGGGAACGACCAGTCGTGTACATGTGTGTGCGTATGTGTGTCTGTGATGCGCGCATGTAGCACGGCTTGTCCGAGCGTATGAACAGATTACACTACATATCCCGTCTGTCATGCGGAGCATCAAATCCATACCGATCGTATTGCCTCGTTTTGAGGTCTAACCTTCATAGCACCATGCTCTTGGTGGTTTCGTTAATGTATGGATAGGAGATTATCCGCCCGCTTGCTACTTGTAACTAATCTAGCCTTGACTATGTGGCTATCCCCCAGTTGGTAATTGCTAGGTCCCAAGATGCGAGTTTCTTTTTGAGTTTCGGTTCTATGGTCTGCCGTTTGACACTATGCTTCTCATGACAAGTAAGAATGTTCCCGGTTGGAGCGGAGTAGCAGACTTCCGATAAGCGGCTTGATATACATGGCGACGTTCTAACTAGTCGGTGCTGTTATGTACAGGAGTTCGGATTCCGGCATTCAACCTTGTCCGAAAACGACGCCTAAGTGTAAGTCCTGCCGGTGTCTAGTTCGTGCTTGTAGAAGTACATGTTCCAAAGCTGTACTAAACTGACAAATAACTTGGGTGCTCCCTTTCAATGACCGTTTGAAACACTCGACCATGCTGTTTGGCGCTGGATTATACAGTGCAGTAGGTGAACATCGGATGGCTTGAAGTTGTAAAAACGAATGCAACTCATTGCTTGTAAACTACGGACAGTTGTTTAGTATTATTTCCTCCGCTAATCCAAGCGAGAAAACATGTATTTCTGCCAGCTGGTAATACTCGTAGTAGTCATTTCTCTGTACAGGTGAAAATCCGGAAATTTACTTTAAGAGCACACCGCTAGCAAACAGTTGTTTCGATGCTGTGGCACTTATCTGAACTAGCCCATAACATCAATAGGTATCTCGGCCTACGGTCGCGGAGGATAGTCTATGGGCTGTATAGGAAAGTACATCGGCCTTGAACTCTTGACTACTCTTAGGCATGAAGAGCACTCACGAACCAGTTTTTCGATTTGTGTGGACTTCTGGGCCACCAGAAGGTGAGTTCACTTTAAGTTTCGTAAGAGCAATACCAGGACGGCCGTAGTGGGCATATATCATGAGATGTTGCACTAAGTTCCGAGGGGCAACGAATCTGCTGTCACGCACTAAGTATCCATCGTTGGATTCCGGCTCGTGACGAAACACGTAGCATGGACGAAGCGAATCCGAAATGTTTCTATTATGAGGCCAATCGTTTAGCAAATATCTTTTGACGTTGCGGAGTATAGCATATTCTTTGGTCGCATCCTGGAGTTCTTCCTTAGTCAAAGTAGAGATGCCCTCACTGTTCAAGAAGAAAACCAATAACAGCTCATTGACATCCTCATAATTTTCTGTTTTCTTGAACGGCAGCCGACAGAGACCATCTGCTGCCTGGTTTCCACTCCCTGGACGATCTGGATATTGTAGTAAGCGTGTGTAACAGAGATATATTCACAGTGGTCTGGTGCCATTTGTTCCCCAAGTAAGTAAGGTAATTAAAACTGTGCGGCCTGAACGACAAGTGAATGTCCTCCCAAACTGGAAAAGATTCCACCTCTCACAGTCCCAAACGCAAGTGAGAGCTATCTTTCCCCCGGGCAGAACAAGAAAGCTCTGCTGTGAAAAGTTTGCTGGAGGCGCATGCAATAGTCTTTTCATGTCCGTCTTTTGTTGACAATAGTATGGTAACCAACCCAATCTTTGAGGCGTCACTGAAGACAACTCTGGGGCATATTTCGTCGAAACTCGCCAAGGCTGGCGCGGAAGCAATATGGTGTATTATCTCGCCGATTGTTGATCCTGGTTCCAAACAAATACAGTTTTCCCTTGTCAGTTCCCGCAGTGGCTCAGCAATATTTGTGAAGTGACCTATGTTATACGAACACAACCAGAAAATGCTTTACCTCCGTAGGGTTCTGTAGACGAGGAGTCCCGGTAATGGTTAGTTTGTTTTCAACACTCGACGTGATGCTGTCAGTTCTAATAACGTCGCACGTAAACTTGATGCCGGTAGCGTTAAATTTGCACGTTTTGAGATTTAAGCGAGGTTTCAGATAGTTTAGTCGGTATAAAACTGCGTGCAGTGGTAAATCATACCCTTCTAGTAGCCTACCGACAACACAGATGTTATCCGTGTAGGCTATTTGACCGGGTAAATTAGAAAGCGATTGAATCATGAACCTCTGCCATACAACTGGGATTAAGCTTAAGCCCACGGGCAAAACCTTATAATGAAAGAGTCCATCCGTTTTACGAAAGGCGTTCAGTTGTCATGGCCGCTGAACGGGAGTCATGTGGAAGAAAGCCTTCCTCAGGTCCAATAAAGGAAAAATTGGGACTTCCGCTAGTTTGACTAATAGTTGAAAGTACGAAGTTCTAAACCACTGTTGGCCGATTAAGGGCTTGTAGGTCGTTGCATATCCTCACTGTGCCATTTATCTTAAGGACTGCAACCATATGTGTGCCTGTCCTCTGCACATCATAACATGCAAGACGGTGGAGGATGAGCCGCGTTATATCGCAGTTAGATATCAGTCATGGCGGTCCTCTGCCGTCGCCCGTGGCTCAGTGACGTAAGTCGCTGACACGCAAGAGTAAGGTCGTGGGTTCGAATCCGGTAGAATTCGGTGGGTGCGCGCTACTGACGAGTCCCAATAGGACGAAACGACCGTCTAGCGCTTTCCTGGATGTGTGGTGGCTGTCTGT